CCTGACTAACAATACAGAAGTTACAATGATGCGGCTCACGTGCACTCATGTTACCGTATCAAATAACATAAAACTGACCTTTGATCTATGCAAAGTAACTTGTCTTGGCTGTGTTTCAGTAGACTAGTATTTTTTGTATTATACATTTATTATACATTATCAATTATTATACATTACATATGCATATAAATTAATGCTATTTTGAAATAAGTTCTAAAACTTATTTTTCTTAAAACACAGAAAAGTAACTAAAGAAATAAAGCAAATCTTTTCTAGTTATGACCTTTATACTGAGTTGCTGTTTGATGTAGGTTGCTAAGCCTTTAAACATTTTGCATGTGTAGGATATGAAATAAAATATTTTTTTAGGTTTTATATATATACAGTTGAATAACTTGCCATTTCTTTCTTTTGAACCATGACTTCAATGAGGTAGGGTTTGTCTTTAGTCTACTTGAAATTTCATATTTGTTTTAGACTAAAATACATCTTAGTTACTAAGCTTGATAAATGTTAGTGGAATTCTATGATATTGATGCAGTAATTTATATTTTTTTTGTTAAAATGGCTGAAAAAGCCACTAGGGGGAAATTCTGAGATTAAAATTGGTTATTCATGTCATAAGTAGAAGTAAGTGTATATAACGATTCATTTCCAAAAATGGAAAAAAGTGGACGGGGTGCCACTGTGTTGGATTTATTACATGAGCAATATCTCAGCAAATAGAAAAGATAAGACATTCTTATTTTATATTCTAGCTTGTCAATATTGGTAATTTGAGTTTCTAATTTGTACGAAACTATAGACTTTTAACTTCACAAACATCTAATTTGAACCAGTGCTGCATTCAACATACCACATGACACACAAAAATCAATGTTTAACTGTGTTTTTTAATATTTAATTTTAAATTAAGAAATTGAGTATAGTACTAAGAGTTGAATTATAATCTACAGTTTGATACCAAAGTTATTGACAATAATTCACGAAATAGTAGTTCAATAAAATTTTGAATGTGAGTCAACAAACGAGATGACCCGTCTCGAAAGGGTTATCAAGATAATATAAGATTTTAAGTTTAATAAGGCTCATAGGATTAAAATTCTCCTAGCCACACCTTAAAATAAATAGCTGTTTGTTTTTTATGTGGGAAAGGTGGTCAAGGAGACAGGAATCACAGCTTTCTAATTTGACACATACTGTCAAGCTTCCAATGCAGGTACAATGGGTTTTTGTGTCTTTAGTCTGCTTAATTAAATATGAGTTTAGAAGCTAACATTCAAATACAGTGGAGTGTCTGTAGAAATTTGATATGAAGTATTCCCAAATTGAACTCATTAGCCACTGCAGAAGCCTATTACAATGACAATTATGATATCAGACAAAACTGCCAAATCAGGACCACTAGGCTGAGTATAATAAAAAATGAGTAATACATTTTAAAGAACAGCAAGGGGCATGAAAAACGTCTTACAACGTGTAAATAACTATCAGTAAGTAGAGATACAGAAGAATATAGAACATGACAAAACACCAGCCTGATATAAACACCATCTGATTTGCACTTTTACAACAACAAATGGAGACGAAATGCTTTGATTATGATGCAGTGTAAATGTTTTACATATTCTCAAAGCACTTTTTTCTTTCGTATCTCTTATTCAATACTGAGACCTGAAAGAAAAATACTTTGAATAGCAATATACAAATATTCTCTGTCTCAAACAAAATTTTGAGCTTTTCATAACATGCATTAGAATACAGAAATGGTTAATCAAGTTTTTAAAAGTACGATGCACTGACTTGAATAACCTGGGTGGCATCGGAGAGGAGATGCAGCTCTTGATTTTTAAAACTTATTTCTTACGACTTTGAACTGACATTTTGTGTAACACTCAAATTCAAAGTAACCACCATATTGTATTTTCATTCATGCTCTGTTTACAAAACTCACTGTCATCACCATATTGTTAGTATTATCATACATGCTCTGTTTACAAAACTCATTGTAAAAGCAAAAATTGTTACTATTACTATTCATGATCTCTTTCCAAAACTCACTGGAATTATCATATTGTTACTATTATCATTCACACACTGTTTCCAAAACTCATTGTAACCACCATATTGTTGCTATTATCATTCATATTTTTCCATTATTTCATGTATATGCAAATAATGAAGACTTCCTTTTGTTCCAAGATATTCATTTTACTTAAAACAAACTCATAGGAAACATGATTTTAATTTTTACCTTACAAATCAGTAAAAATACCCTAAGTATTTACCACATTCTTGTCTTTTACATTCAAAGAAAATGAAGGCTTGGATAACTTGAGTTGTGTTAAAAGTTTCGTATTCCTATTGCTCCGAAGAGACTGAAACCTAACATTCTTTCTTGCTTGATATGGCAAAGTGCTAGAAAGAAACACATATAAAATATTACCTTATTTAATCAAAATAAGTAAATATATTTTGCACAAATGTTAAACACAAGATTTAACTCAACATACCATCATCTTTCACTAGTTGATCATGACATCAGCAGGTATGGTGGAAATAAATTTTATTCAGTTCCATCTTAAAAGTTATCATTTTGCTAAACTGAAAATGTATTTCTTACTTACCTCCACTGACACTAATAGCTATTTCTTGATCTTCATCTTTGCCATCTAACACTGTGTTCGCTTGCTCCAGTCTTTATATACCCCACTTGACTGCCCTCGGTAATATCTAATTTGCAAAACTTTACGCCACCCCTCGCACACCCTCTATGCACGTACTATATATAAGCACTGTATGCGGACAATAAAATCACTTTTTTAAGACTTACCGCATTCTGGTCATTAACACCGGCTCTTAGTGGGGAGGAAGGGAGGGAGAGTGTTAGCGGAGGTAAGTGTGTTTAGAAATACATTTTCAGTTTAGGAAAATGATAACTTCCAAAACATACATACCTCTACTAACACTAATAGCTAGAATCCCACATTGAGAAGGCAGAGGGGCCAGTGAGGATAAAGATCATACAGAAAGCATCTGCAGAGAACAAATATGTACCACAGGAAGTGGTATCAAAGTGGGGAACACCACACTACATCCAGAACAGGTATGATCTTCACCCAGAACTACAGAAAATTGAAAAGGGTGGAATACAGTACAAGTATGATGGTCCAGCCCCAAGAAAACAGCTGAGGTTCCACAACTCGGGTCAGATTTAAGGGGTCATGGTACCCACATCCCACATTGGTGGCCAGGGGCAAATCTGGACTAGTTTTATGAGTACGCTCCCATGTAGGTTGGTTCTGCTCCTACCAACATCTGGTAAAAACTTCCAGGGACCCAGGTAGGAGGGTCCCCAACTTTGCCCTCTTCTCTGAGAGTGGAGAAAACTCAACACTCCCAAGGTAAATCCTCTGTCTAGCAACTGGGAACTGGGTGTGGTAAGGACTCCCGAGCTCCACTAATAGAAGGTAGGGGGGGGGGGGACATAAGCATTGGGGAGTCCTGAGGAACAGGCCTCCGGAGACAGTGCAACAAGCGAACAATTTTTAAAACCAAACTGATTTTGACTGATTCAGCTCTAAGATCAGCAGGGACTGGCAAAATCCCCATTAGCTTTACTCATGATAGTCCATGAGTAGCAGTCCATTAGAAATATTGTAATATGATATCACCATCCAGAATTATGTCCTGATGGTCTTATGGAACACCTCATCTTGACAGAGCCCATTGCAACCAGGAACTGATATAAAGGTTGCTAGTGCAGAATTTAAATACAAGCATTCCCGACTAGGCAACAATCGCAACTGAGTGGGATCCAAGGAAAATAATAGGGACTCTAGAAGAGAAAGAAACAATAACTGTAAGTCAGATAACACGTTATTCACCATCCTGTTAAAATCTAGTAGATGTAGTCAACACAGCCACAGGGGGAACACGAAGTCCCTTCGAAGAGGAAACAGCCAGATTGTGAAGGTAATGAAATATGAACGTGTCAGGAGAAGTCCACCTACCCACCCACAAAATATCTCCCAAGAAGAAGGATGGAAATGATTAAGAGAACCAATGGAACAAGAAGTGGAAGGAGGGGGCCTTGAGACACAAGGGGATGAACATGCAGAAGTACAAGTGTAAATAGAATATGGTCAAGCAGTCAAAGACCATAAAGAAGACTGCAAATGTGTTGTATCAACTCTGGCTTCTAAAGATTCTGGAATTCTAGCAAATTAATAAGGTCGAAGAAAAAGCTCTTCCATTAATCTCGAAGGGTAAAATAAGATAAGTGAATACCCTTCAAAATGCATCACGACTCAGCAAGTCCCAGCAACAGACCAATCACAACACCAACGCAAGTCCTGAAGAGGACAAACGTGTCATAACAGTGACCAGTAAATGGCCCATTTCATCATCAAATTGTTGAGGCAATCAGCGATATGCTTCAGACAAAAGTTTAAGGGAAGAGAAGTGTCTTAAAACAGTAGTAAGAGTCAAACGAATCTGCGAAAATTGCAACCTGTTAAGAGAGATAAAAGGTTCGTATCTGGTACCCCATAGATCCAACTTTTGAGTGTCCAAATATATATCATCCTGACGATGATATGCCAGGGTATGTTGTTCAGATAAATGAGGTGGGGAGGCATAGCAACACCCTCACGTAATTGTGTTCCAAACTTCCCTGTATGCATAGCAATATCAGGAGAAGGAGGAAAACTAAGTAATCCCCTTGATAACGATCAGAACACAAAGCAGGGTAGACTCAAAAGCAAGTGGTTGCAACTCCAAAACTTCACAAACATGTGTATCTAACTGCAGAAAAAAAAGGGCATATGGTGGCTGATCAGACAAGCCCTCAGGAGAGGAAGCTCTAGTGAAAGAAGCAAGAAACATGGAGTCTAAATTCTCCCCAGAATATCCCGTTTCAGAATGAAAAGTAAAACCAGCACCTCTCTGAGAGATATCCCCAGGCCACATGAAGGACTCGATCTCACCCAGAATCAGGCTGAGTGGCCACTGTGCTTGAAAGTGTTACACAGGAGTTCATATCCAATTGTTTTTATATACATTTGTAGGAAAAAAAAAAAAAAAACAAATTCAACGAAATATATTTCTGGATAACAAAATAAAGAATTCCCGATTATTAGAAAACGAAAACTAAGAAAATGTAAATCACAAAAAGTTATTTTATTGTCTGCATACAGTGCTTATATACAGTACCTGCATAGAGAGTGTGTGAGGGACAGCACAAAATTTTACAAATTAGATATTGCCAAGGGCAGTCGAGCGGGGTATATAAAGACTGGAGCAAGTGAACACAACGTTAGATGGTAAATATGAAGATCGAGAAATAGCTATTAGTGTCAGCGGAGGTATGTACGTTTTGGAAACTAGCATTTTCGTGCCTTCCCTATAATGTAGTCAAAACTAAGACTGTCACTGATTTCTTAGCACAAAGCTAAACAATGGGCTATCTGCATTCTGTCCACTGTAAGGAACTGAACCTCAGATTTTACCATTCTAGGTCCAGAAACTTACCACTGACCCACCAATGGACTAATACTAAGAAATTCACATAAAATTACATTATCTCATTCCATCTAGTAATCCATTTTAAGCAAGCTATTAAGTCTTCAACAAACTGTTCATAATAAAGTCATTAATTCTGAAGTCTTCACCAAACAGCTCATAATAAAACGTTTCTAATTCTTAAGTCTTCAACAAACTGTTTATAATACAAAGTTACTCATTCTTAAGTCTTTGTCACACTGTTCATAATAAAAAGTTACTAATTCTTAGATCTTTGGCAAACTGTTCATAATAGTCATTAATTCTTAAGTCTTCACCAAACAGCTCATAATTAAAATTTCCTAATTCTTAAGTCTTCAACAAACTGTTCATAATAAAAAGTTACTGATTTTTCAAACTTTGCTAAACTGTTCACGATAAAAAGTCACTAATTCTTAAGTCTTCACCAAACTGTTCATACTAAAAAGTCACTAATTCTTAAATCTTAAAACTGCTTTAAGTAAAAACACCTACAAAATATTTATCACAATCTTAATAAAGATTGTATTCATCCACACTTCATGACAGGTTTTCTCATTTCGGCTAAACTGACTTCACTATGTGAAAAATATAACAATAGTTAATACTGCATATATGTATTAAAACGTCTTTTCATTCCTCACCTCTGAATACCATATTCTGATCTTTCCTGTTTATTTGCTGCTGAACTAATATCTTCCATAGACTTGCTCCGGTCAGGTTTACTCCACTTGATTTATGTTGTTAACCAAAACAATTGGAAATAAAGAAATGACAGCACTATAACAAATATGTAGAGATCTTATACATAAAAGTCACAACCAACTTTACCAACTATATTCCCTCAGAATAGCAAGCTTGATGTGAGGCCATTTTACTGTGTTATATTCACCTGCTCATATCCCACAATCTTTCACTACTCAGTAATTATTTAAACTGAAATCAAGTAGAAGCAGTGCTTATACAAAGTATTTAAATGGCTTGTTTACAAATCAAAGTAAATCGCTAATATTGCAATTGCTAAAAATTAAGCCTTTTTTTTTAACTTTTTAATCAACTTACAAACATACCATAAATGATATCACCAAAGATAGCATTTTTCACACATACAGTACCTCGCAAAAGTATTCACTCCTCTGCAAAGTTTCCACATTTTGTAACCATTTGAGCTTGCAGTCATGAAACTTTCAAATTGGACTTTATAGTTAGAATCTACACAATCTACTCCAAACTGAGGAAGCTAAAAAAATGCTGATCTTATGTAAGAAAGTTAGATTTTCAAAGAAAATTTGAATATTCTCAATTGCATATGTATTCAACCCCCTTTGCAGCTACTCTATTTCAGTTCAGGCACAAAAGATTAGTTTGAAAGGGCACAAAATTAGTGTAATGGTCTCTGTTTGTGTGTAATCAAAGTGGTTTAACTTGACTTCAGAGTAAATGCATCTGTACTAGCCAAAACTCACATAGTGATACGACAAACCAACCATGATGACCAAGGAGCTTTCCAAACAAGTCAGGGATAAAGTGGTAGAGAAGCACAGATGATGTGAAGGTTGCAACAAAATTTCAAAGTCACTGATTATCCTTTTGAGTATGGTGAAGTCCATGATTAAGAAGTGGAATGTGTTTCATACCATCCAGTCATTATCTAGATCAGGCTGCCCTTCCAAACTAAGCAGCCAAACAAGCAGGACTCTGGTTAGGGATGTCACTGTGAAGCCAACAGTGACTTTGAAAGATTTGCAAAGTTCCATGTCTGAGATGGGAGTCATTGTTCATACATCGACAATATCCCAGTCCCTATACAATGCTGGCCTGTATGATTGAGTGGCAAGAAAGAAGCCGTTAGTGAAAAAGAATCATGTTAAATCTCGTATGGAGTTTGTGATAAAGCATGTAAAAGATACTGTAGACACGTGGCAGGTGGTTTTGTGCTTTTTGAGCTTTTTTGTCTAAATTCAATGCGTTATATCTGACGCAAGCCCAACACAGCACATCTCCCAGTCAACACCATCCCAACTGTTAAACAT